TGTGTGTGTGTGTGTGTGTGTGTGTGTGTGTGTGTGTGTGTGTGTGTGTGTGTGTGTGTGTTTATAATTTAAGTCACGCTTACTGGTCGCACGTAAACGACAATAAGAGCCACAATGACGACATTTACGGAAAGAATAATAACAACACCTCACTAAGAAGAAGGAGAAGGAGAAGAAGAAGAAGAAGGAGAAGGAGAAGAAGAAAAAGAAGAAGAAGAAGAAGAAGAAGAGCAATAGCAAGACCAACTGCAACAACAACTTCGAAGAAAAATACGAATAGCATCGATAATTTAAAAAACTACAACGACGATAATAACTGCGTCAACAACAACAACAACAATAATAACAGCAATAGTAAATGCATCATCAATAACGACAACTACAACAACAACAACAACAACAACAACAACAACAACAACAGCCACAATATATAGAGAATTCTAGCTCGTCATATTGAAAGTACAGGTCTCTCACATTCGTGTCCCGCGAAGTATGGAGATTGCCGACATGTGGTTATGCCACCTTCGTCTTATCTCTCTGTTATTTTTGGCTGTCGTCTAGCTAGGTTTCGATTCTCTCAGCACTCTAATGTGATCACCACCTTTCCTTCATCTCTCTCCGATGCACTGCATCAGGAGTCGGGCTTTCAGATCACCGCTGCCTCATGGGGAAATGCGTGAAAATGTTTCGATGCAATTTTAAAACTTTCTCTGTCTGTTTGTCTGTCTGTCTGTCCGTCGCTCTCTCTCTCTCTCTCTCTCTCTCTCTCTCTCTCTCTCTCTCTCTCTCTCTCTCTCTCTCTCTCTCTCTCTTTCTGTCTCTATCTCTCCCCTGCCTCTGTGTCTGTCTCTCTCTCACACTTTTTCTCTCTCTTTACACACACACGCACACACACGCGTGCACTCAGACTCACACACGCGCACACGCACGCACACACGCACACACGCACGCAGCACACTCTCACAGAGAGAGTGTGTCTGTGAAAAGGAGGAAGAAAGAGAGAGAGAGAGAAAAGTAGGGAGGGAGAGAGAGAGAGAGAGAGAGGGGGGGGGGGAGAGACTGTTATGGGCGCGCGTGTGCAGACGAAAGCAAACACCTCGTTAGTCAAACCAGCAGGAATAATAAAAACTCTGTGATTGCCAATTTCTCCTTTCGCTCCCTGTTTCGGTCGTTCAAACGTAAGGAAGAGGTTCTTTCACGGACTGTGTGGAAATGAAAAGCTTCTCCATCATGGGGTGACGGACAGATGGGTGTGTGCAGACGAATGAGTGAGTGGGAGAAGAGGGGAGGAACAAAGAGGGTGACACGGACAGTGAAAGAGACATTTAGGAATACAGAGAGAAATGGGCAACGAGAGGGGTGCGCAAGGAGACGAGCAAAAAGGGGAGGAAAGAAGTACAGGACGAGAGAGAGAGAGAGAGAGA